TATCTGCGTCGACTTCGATTCCATATTCTTTGCAGAGGCTGTAGTGAAGTTGGGTGCATACTCTGTCGTGTCTCTCGATATAGTCCTTTTGGGCTAGAATTGGGCAACCTGATGTTATGTGCTCAATGGTTTCTTCGAACTGGTGACAGATTCTGCATTTGCTATTCACATGTTTCTTGTGGATTTTCCTCTCTCGGTACCTTGTGTTTAGGGCTTGATCCTGTGCCGCTACAATTAGGCTCTCTGTTTCTGCTTTTAGTACACCTTTACTGAGCCAGATGGTAGAGAGATTACTCTCGATAGAGTCATTTTCTAGCATCAGTGGATACTGCCCGTGCATGATCTTTCCTTTCCATTTGGTTCTGATGCTTTCTGAGATTTTCTTTTTGATTTTTTGCTTCCTGCTGTTTATGGGGGCCACTTCAAAGTTTTCTCCGAGCTCGGCTTCAAACTTGTTTGCTTCTTTCGCAATGTGGTCTTTGTCTAGAGCAAGGTTGACGGCATATACGGCTTTGAGAAAAGGGTCTTCGTTTTTTTTTTCCTGGAGGTAGTACTTCGCATTGATGATGGAAGATTTGTAAGTTGATTCAATTTGCCTAAGTCCTCGTCCTCCTAGTTTTCTGCTCACGTATAGCCTGTCAACGTCTGCGGATGGGTGGTGCATTTTATGCATTGTCAGACATTTTCTTGTTTTTATGTCTAGCGCTTTTATTTCTTTTATTTTCCAATTCAGAATTGCAAATCCGTACTGTAGAACGGGTACGGCTAGCGCTCCGATTGCAGTTATCTTGTTTTTTGCCGTTAGCTCTGTCTTTAGTACTGCTCTTACTCGACGTATGTATTCTCTCTTTACCTTTTCTTTTATTGTCTTATGTTGGATACCTATACTTTCTTCCATTCCGAGGTATTTGTATGTTTCACCTGGGTCTAACTGTCGGATGCTGGTGTCGACGTCTATATCCATGTTTTCTCCGTGGGTGTATTTACCTTTCTTGAAGGTTACCTTGGCACACTTATCTAGGCCAAATTTCATACCTATGTCGTCACTGAATTCTTTCACCGTCTCGAGTTGATTTTGCAGTTTCTCGTCGCTGCTGCTGAACAGTTTCAGATCATCCATATACAGGAGGTGCGTCAGTTGTTTATGGCCTGCCTTGATGTTATATCCATTGTTCATGTTGTTTAGTCGTGTAGAGAGGGGTATTAATCCAACGCAAAACAGAAGGGGGGAGAACGCGTCCCCTTGGTAGATTCCTCGTCTTATTTTAATTTCAGAGGTGATAATTGTATCTGTTTTTCCTCTTAGTTGGATGCATGTTGACCAGTGCTCCATCATGTTCTTACAGGCGTTTACTATATTCGGGTGCACTCCCATGAGTTCCAG